AGTCCTGCCTTGTCACAGCACTTCTCCATTCTTTAACATTGCCTAATGGCATTGATGACCACTTCTCTCCTGCATCTGTCCATGTGGTGTTCCACCCAACCCTGCAGATAGAGGGATTTATAGGGAGAAAACATTGTCTAAGCTTAGTGTCTGACGTCCCTTTCTTCTAAGAGGAGAAGAGGACGTCAGAGGACAAGATGCTTGGACAGTGTCATCAAAGCTACCAGCATGAATTTAACCCAACTCTGGCAGGCAGTGGAAGACAGGAGGGCCTGGCGTGCTCTGGTCCATGGAGTCACAAAGAGTTGGAGACAACTTAAAAACTAAACAACAAGCTTAGTGTCACAATGCTAGTTTTCCATTTTTGACTTCAGAATGGTCCCCTCTCTCTGAAAAACCAAACTCAATCAATAATCTTGAAAAATCATGAAATTGTGAATGATGAAAAAGCTAGTTACACAGAATGTTATGTATATTTGCCCAAACTATGCAACAGAGATGAGCCAAAATACATTACTTCCACCGCATCTGTGAAGAGCTGGAGTGCATGAACAGACAGATAATTTTACATTGTTTTCTCCCTCCTGACATCTGTTATTGCATTCGGTATTATTTTGTATTTTGGGGTATGCATTATGCATAATGGGGATATGTATTATGTTAATCAGGCATTATGTATAATTATGTGTTGCTAGACTGGATCATGTATAATTAGGTGAATTGAAACATCCTCATATGACATGCATACTACATCTCTTCCCCCACATGGCAATCTTCAAGATAATTCTTTTGCTGCTGAAGTGTTAAACAAAAAAAGCTGTAGACCAGGCCCTGTTTCATGAGATTACTTCTTGAAAAGCTGAGAACAGGACCCTCAATGACACATTGAAAACATATTTAAATATATATGTCCTGTCATTGAGGGTTCAAAAATATTAACTCAAAGTTAACCATACCTAGAGCAGATCCATTTAGATCAACTGGATTTTGGTCAATTGTGACTAACACAGATCATTCCTTGTAAAAGGTTTACTAAAGGTTCCCGTCACTTGTCCCAGCTCCTGCCAACCTAGCGGTTCGAAAGCATGCAAATGCGAGTAGATAAATAGGGACCACCTAGGTGGGAAGGTAACAGCGTTCCGTGTCTAAGTCGCACTAGCCATGTGACCATGGAAGATTGTCTTCGGACAAACGCTGGCTCTATGGCTTGGAATCGGGGATGAGCACCGCCCCCTAGAGTCGAACACGACTGGACAAAATTGTCAAGGGGAACCTTTACCTTTACCTTAACCATACCTAGAGCATATCCATTTAGATCAACTGGATTTTGGTCAGTTGTGACTAACACAGATCATTCCTTGTAACAGGTTTACTAAAGGTCGAGCTGATGTTGGAATTAACCCATTGGTGGCATTTTTTTTGCCAAAATCCTTTTGCACAGTTATGCTTAAGAAAGGTAAGCAGTGTAACATGCAGTGTAACATGCAGTGGCATCTTCCTGGCAATTAGCAAGTCCCAAGCACATGGCCAAAAATCCAAGTAGGAACTCTTTAACTAGTAGCAAAAAGCTAATGTGAGTTATGCCATTTTCTCTCTGCAACTGTAACTAAACGAGAGGATTTTGGCCACTGTTTTCTATGAAATTCTAACCTTTACACCTCGTTGATGACAGAAGAAGATTTTGATGCCCTTTCTTTTCTCTCTCTGATATTTCCACACAGCTTGCAATTCTGAAACCATGTATGCCTTCTGCATCCAGTACCCATAATGTACTGGTTGTAAATGATACTCCTTGACACGGATTCTTTGGGTGTTACAGCGGTCTATGCACAAACGCCACCTGCTCCTCCTTCCAGGAAGACACTATCAAACCTCCTCCATCGCTGTCACCTGCACTTGAATGAAGGTCTCCAGAATCATCTCCAAGCCAGGTCTTCTGTGCTGTAGCATTGTCCACCTAGACCTCCTCTATCCACTTCCACCATGGCTATCCTCCCCAAAGGTTCTTCCACTGCAACCATTACTTCCACCAACACCTCCTAAACCTTCCTCCATCATGCTTTCAGGAATTGTTTCACCATGACCCTTTTCTCCACTTTCATGACCACCACCAGTGCCTTCCAGGTTACCTCCAGCATAACTATCACCCTGGAGCTATTCTCTATGGCTCATTTTTACTGTTATTCCCATCACCATAGCTCCCACATCCTGCCCTTCTCCAGCACTTTGGTAATCACTTGAGAAAGCAATGCCTTGAATGTCATCTGGCTTAAATTGAGTCTGTTTTCCATGTAGTTATCATATCCTCTTCTTCCAGTTTGATATCCAGCAGACTGGCAAATGGGAAATGAGCCAATTCTGACAGCCTGCATGAAGCCTGCAGATCTACTGGCAGCCAACTGGTGGCTCATAGCCATATCTTGGACAACCTAAGAGTACAGCATGCACTGCTGGTGGAAGCCTCAGTACAGGTGGATAAAATGAAGGAGGCTCTTCTGCATCATCTGGAAACCCCCTTTTATACCTGTTGGCAACGTTCAGATTGCAGTCTAGAGATTAATTATGAGCATTGGTGGGTTTGGCTCCTCTTGCAGCAATATATTTTTTTTATTTCTTTACCAGCCAATTAAATGCAGCCAATTGATGGTAACAGTTGTCAGATTTACTCTGCAGCAAATCTCATAATTGCCCGTTCAGCAAGCTTTGATGTTCAGGCTAAAATAACTCTTCCTTGAAAAATGGTTTTGTCTATTTTCTTATCAAGGTTTAAAGGTGTTGGGAAGGGTGGAAGTCAGCAGGAAAAGAGGAAGACCAAATATGAGATGAACTTACTCCCTAAAGGAAGCCATGAGCTTGAATCTACAAATGCTAAGCAGAGCGGCTGAAGAGAGAACATTTTGGAGAGTGTTCATTCACAAGGTTGACATAAGTCAGAGGTGACTTGATAGCACACAATGACACACAATGATAACAATGCTGTGCAAGAGATTATCCATGGTAGTCATAGGATGGTGCTAGTGTGCTCATGTTCTGATGGTGGGCTTCCCAAAGCCATCTGGTTGGTTGGTGAGGAAACAATGTATAGGGATTCTAGAGACCTTAAAGACCACCTTCTCATGGAGCAGGATACACACAAAATAATCAAACACAAATCTTATGGAAGTCAAAGGTTCTAGACAAGGCAGTTTTATTAAGGAGATCAGAAACGTTAGAACTCTTAGGAAATGACCAGGAAATATACAAAGGCCTTTGAGATATTACATACCACCAGCACCAGGTATGGAAGGCAGGGAGGCGGCTGCAATTTGCATGCACAAGCAGAAGTACATTAAGTAGGAAATGGGGAAAAAGAGAGAGAGAGAGAACTTGTCAGTTCTTGGGAACTGTTATTATTTTTAAGCATCTTCATTATTGTAAATAATACTCAAATTATTCTAAAAAGTAGAAAGGGGGGGACATAGAGATGACCAGTGTCCCCAAAAGAATCACTTCAGAAACTTTCTCCATGATTGATTTCCTCTGATCAAAATGCATAAGGGTGGAAAGGACACTCTTGTGTGATGGTAATTCAACAACATGTTGGGAAATGTTATCAAAGGTAACAGGAAGGTAACAGGTGCCCGCTACTCGTTCTATATAAAGAAACCAGAGGGACTTGTGCTCGATCTTACTTCACCAATGGCCATGGTCATCTGTGCTCCAGTGCACTTGAGGCATTATGCCAGCCTAGGGTTGGTGGGTGGGAGAAGAACAACTGGGGTGGAGACCAAGAGGGACAGCCCCACAGCAACTGCTGCTTAAGGTAATCACCTCACTCTCCTTAAAGGTAGAGCCAGTCCAGGCAGCAAACAATGACATCAATTGTTTAGTGTGTACTGCTTATAGGATTATCTGTTTAGAAATACAGGGAAGTGTTAACAATGAAGTGAAGGATACTTTCACTGTAGCTCAGTGTGTGCTTATGCTTCCCACTACTGCCTCCAAAAATAATATAAACAAAGATTCCATGATGCACTGTGATGCCTCAAAAACTTGCAAAACCTGCTTGACGAGAGACAAGTGTATCAAAAGAAGGAGATGCATACTTCACAATGAAGTTGCTTCTATCACAGCACCTCCCACTCACTTTGACACAGTTGCCTCCCTCCAGTCTTAGGCATGGAATAAAATGGGTGCAACTCTCTGAGAAAAGGTTTGGGTAGCCCTCAGGGACTAGTGTGACTAAACTCCCTACAACTTCATGCTGCCGTTACCCCATGCAAAAATGACTAAAGTGGATTCAAAAAAGTAATTGCCTGCAACACTAGTTGACTAAAGAAATCAAAGAGGTGAGATCTTCCAAGTCATAACCATTCTGCCACAGTCTGGCATTTTTGCTAGCCTGTAGGTGGGTGAGCAATATTCAAATGCTTAGAAAATGGATCCTCCACCTGCATACAAAACAAACACATCAGGAAGAAAGCTAGGATAGAAATCCTCCTTCCTAACCTGCAAATTGTGTATGACAGCTCTTTCTTTTCATTTTAAAAATTGATTTCAAAAGAAAAAAAGTAGGAGAGCTGTTCAAGCATGTTAATTTGCCACTGAGAGACTGGAGTGCTGTAACAGTGCAGCAGATGACTCTTTCAGCTGAGCGAATGGGACAATAAGCATAATAAGAACACAATTACTTTCCTCCCCCTCCCCCGTTTCAGTGCTGAAGAAGTATTGTGCTCATAACCCAGTGGTTCCCAGCCCTGGGTAGTCCAGATGTTCTTAGACCGCAACCCCCAGAAACCCTGGGCAGCACAGCTGGTGATGAAGGCTTCTGGGAATTGCAG